GCGACATTATTAACTTTTCTGGTAGAGAAACCGTTTAACTATTTCAGCAGATAAAAGCTTCCTGTTGACGTGCAGCTAAACCATGTAAGCTGCTCACAGTGATGAGAAACTAAATACTGCGTGAGAGAAGAACCTTTCAGTCATTTTAACTGTCCTTATAAAACTTATCACAAAGAGCGATGAGAGTTCATGTTGCATCAAGTGGGCGTCCGCTTGATGTTGCTGACGGTGAGCGAGGAGGACAAGCGGACCGGCTGCAGAACCACTAACCTCGCGTGAACCTGGCTGAAAAAAAATAACTGAGCTCATGGAGGTTTTATTCTGAAGCCCCGTCTGGCGCTGATTGGCAGAACAACAGGCTGCGTTCAATCTTCTGATTAGCAGCCCAAAAAAATCCCGCTCTTAAGTATTTATCGGAGAAATGTGAAGCTGAAAGTGTTTAACGGCTCCGGTCTCCATCCTTCAGTGTTTTACAGCTACGGAGGGTTTAATCTGCAAAATATGTTCGAGTTTAGAGGCGAATAAGAAAAGTGGTCGACCTGAAGTGAACCTCAGTTAGTCAGAAGACACAGACAGCAGACAGATGGACACTTCTGACTGTTGATGCTAAAAATAATGTCTTGACTTTTGCAGCTATAATGTGAAAAAGAAAGAGCAGGTACAGGGTTTGGGGATTCAATCTAAGCATCTATATCTGTGTTTTTTTTTGTGAACATTAGCGCTTCCAGTATTCAGATTAAGTGAATATTTGGGTTTAAGTGAGGACAGCTGTGTCTGTTTGCACCATAATCCTCCTGCAACCCCCGTCAGTCCCCACATACGCACTAATACTGGAGGGCCTGACATAATGTTGTAGAAATTCAACAGAGGATGCTATTATCGCGTCCTGCTGCTCCCGTAGTAACGCTGGAAATTACCTCTAACGAAGCGCACCGGGTTTAAGCGAGGACACTGTGCTGATCGTTTATCTCTGTGCAGGAAACAGGAAAACTGAGCCACGTCGAGCTTCACCTGGAGGCACCCACAAGCCTTTTGAAGTTTTTTTTTTTTTTTAGCGTTTATGAGATGAAAACATCGAGGCAGATAAGAGAGTAATCCAGCTTCCAGAGCTACTTGTGGGCCGCCACTTGTTACCACTCGTCGGCTGCGCTGCTTACCTCTTGAAATGGCTAAGCAGGGTGCCAACCAGCTCCCCGATGCGGCTCTCGTTGGCGGGCACCATCCCCTGCAGGCACACCACCAGATCCCTGCTGTCCTTGGTGTGGAACACGACCAGCTGGTCCTTCCCCGGAGAGACGCTCACTCCGGTCACCTGGGACGAACGGGGGAGACGACACAGACAGTTAAACACAGATAAACATGTACACAGAGCGGCAGGGAAATACAAACATGTGAAAGAGGAATGAGAGTGTCACAACTGCATCGTGGGTAAAAACGGATGCACAAGAACGAATTTGACTTGGTGCACCCCAACGGGAAGGAAGTCTAAGATTGACTTCCTACGTCTACATGAACCAAAGCAAGGAGAGCTAAAGAATTAGCTTTTTTTTTTTTAGTACATTTTTTGATTTAGTTGAAAGCAAACCACTACCAGCAGTTTATATTATTGGTTTCTTACATTGTGGGACAATTCTGTGAAGTCTGCACAACTAAAACTACAGTTAGCTTGTAGGATTATGATCGTTACAGCATCTACAACTATGCATTTGCACACTCAGCTTTTTATTTTGCACCCTCAGTTTAAATCTGAATAACAAAAGAGGTCATTATGTGATTCTTAGTGGTGATTTGAACCTCCTGCTGAGTGCACTGCATGGTTCGTCTAACCATCATACAAAACAGCAACTGAAACTGTGCCAGTTGGTTTTGTAAGTTTGCAAACACAACTAGACGACTTCCATCTACTTGTGTTTGCTTCTTGCCCAGATATCATTGCGTGGACATGCAACAAATGGTTCTTGAGGCTGAAGTCCAGCACCAGCAGCAACAGAACCTCCAACACCAAGGTCGATTATGGAGAAAACAGCAACACCAGCAGCAGTATTGTCACTAAAAAGACCCAACGAACCCTAATCATGTCAATTCAAGCATCTATGAACACCAGCTTTCTTCTACAACTTCTACAAGTTGAAGATGACCTGTACAGGTGCGTCCAAATAAACACCCAACATGTCTACACAGTGGTGTAAGGTGTTCACTTTCTAGCTCCTGGTTTACTAAACAGAATATTCCTTCATAAATGATGCCATATTTTCTTATGCTTGCAGAAATGTTGGGTCAAACGGCGATGCAGGTATTAGTAGTTTCACAAATAGTTGATCCAGATTAAAGCGTCTGTCGAATTACAATCAGATTTTGATCTTTAATTTTAGTCATTTTTGTCTGAAATCATCAAAAAAAAAGACAAATATCCTATAAAATATTTTTGCAAAAATAGATTTCTGGAGTGCTTTTATTAAAACTTTGCAAAAATCACGTTATTCTGTACAGTCACTATCCATCCGTCCATCCATTATCTATACATCACTTAACTTGGGTCACGGGGGGCTGGAGTCTATCTCAGCTGACTCAGGGTGAAGGCAGGTTCACCTGGACAGGTAACCAGTCTATCACAGGGCTACACTTAGAGACAGACAACCAAGCACACTCACATTCACACCTACAGACAATTTAGAATCACCAATTAACCTCAACATGTTTCTGGACCTTGTGGGAGGAACCCGGAGAACCCGGAGAGAACCCACACTGCACGGGGAGAACATGGAGACTCCACGCAGAAAGATCCCAGGTGTTCTCAATGGGATGCGAACCTTCTTGCTGCGAGGCAACAGTGCTAACCACCGAGTCACCTTGCAGCCCACAATCACTATCATTTGATGTTATTTTTCAATGCATGATTCGTCATTGGAGGAGATTATAGGGTAGATCAGGACTCGCTGGAGGGGTCATACATATCTCATCTGGCCTTGGACACCTTGAGGTTCCCCAGGAGGAACCGGAAAACGTTCCTGAGGAGACTAAGCCTGCTTCCACCACTCTGGATATGTGGAAGAAAACAGACAGCTGGATGGATACTTGTCGATTTTGTGGGATGAAAGGATTCACTTGTTATATTTAACTGATTATTATTAGTGGGGAATAAAGTACAAATGTATTCATGTTGCATAATAACTAACAGCTAGTGCATTCATAACAGAAATCATTGGGCTTTTTGGGTCCAGACGCTTTAATGAGTGCATGAACAATCAACAATCTGGCTTCTGGATCAGTTGGATTGCAAACCTACCCAAAATATCCTTAGGCTGTCTTGCACACTCCAATTTCCCACTTAAATATGCTTGATTTAACATGAGTGGAGGAGCAGCGTACATGCTTTGGTCTGCTGTGACATGAAACTTGTTGGAGAAAAAACACAGACCACATTGTTTATCTGCAGCTCCTGGTTTCTTCTTCCTTTCAGTTCATAGCAGAACTACACAAAGCAACGTTTCTTTTATTGCAAACAAAGTCAAGGTTGTCTTGCTTGAAAATACATCTCTCGGAAGGCTGATTAAAGCATGTAGGTTGAGTTAACGTAACAGGCGACACAGTGTCTAGTCAGCTTTACTGGAACTGGGCCACATTATCTACACTTACAATGATGCTAAATTTCAAATATTCATGCATGCATGTGTGCATTTTGCTCATGTTTTTGCATATGATTTACGAAAACAACCACGACACACTTATGAGGGAGCTAACTAGTACTAGACGGCATGATCCGTGTCGATTACTAGACGGGATATCTTCCACTCAAGAACAAAATCCACACTTGGAGTCATGACTTATTGATCAGCATCCCAAAGGACCAATCTCATTTTTCCAATTAGAGCCCCTCAAACCACATACCAGAGCAGAGCAGCCGGGTTACAGGAGGAATGGGAGTTATGCGGTCGGTTTGTTTAGCTTTACGGGTCTTCAAAGGGAAGAAACCAATATCTACACAGGTAAACACATCTGTGGAGGAAGAGCCCTTTAGTCTCATTAACGCCCAGTTCCTTTCTCTTTCATCCTCGCTTTTCTCTTTCAAACTGCTCTCTTGTCTTTTTTCCTCCCTCAGGTTTTTCACCATTCGTTTCACTCTTAATTTGTCTTTCTGCCGCAGCCGGCGCATGTTGAGGAAGCAGCCTGGGGGCGTTCAGTCAGGTGCATTAATATCCATCAGCAGACAAATCCTCCACCGGTGGAAGACGGCCAGAGACAGGCCCTCCACCGGCGGCTAAACAACCAGCTAGCTTGTTTAGCTTCAACGCGACTCCAGAAAACAAACACTTCACGTAATCACCATGAATTAAAGCCTAAAGCCATGAATCTCTGCGTGGCAACCCACCCGCAGTTAATTAGAAGGAGCCGATTACATTTACATTTATATTAAAGGCCTAATTGATTGGAACGACAGTCGGTGTTCTAATGAGTTGGGTAATGATACATTCGGCTCGGTTTCCGTGTCTCATTCTTTGAAATCTGTTGCAGCTATTTATCTGCTCAGCCATCTGTTCAACTCTTCGTCTGTCACACAAATCGGATGAAGCTCGGAGACGTTGACACATTTAACGACTGCCAGCTAATTTGGTCGAGTTGTTGCGGAATCGATGGTTTGCTTCTTCGTTTGCAACGATAACCAAACGTCCTCCCATAATATTGATCTTGCAGGTTCATCACAGGGAGCAGGGCGGACCTCATGACATCTCAGTTACAACCAGAGTCACAATATATGATGACGTGAGGAATGCTGGATGTAAAATGAGCTACTTGATCATCATTACTGGCTTTTCAAGCTTCTCAGTTATGAACATTTTCTGCTTTTCAGTGTCTCGTGACAGAAAATTGAATATCTGCAGGTTTGTCAAACAAAACAAGCAACTTGATGATGTCTACTTGAACATTTTTTAAAATTCTGGTTGGCATTTTCACTATTTTCTGACATTTTATAACTGATTGAATAATTAATCCGTTAACGAATAAAATAATGAGCAGATTAATCAAAAATGAATCAGATAAGAAGTCATTCATCTTCTGTATCTTTTCTGCAAATGAGATTGGATCTTTTTATTCTGTATCCTTGCTGTTTCTGTTCATGTTTGCGGTCATCCATCCATCCATCATCATCTATGCACCGCTTAATCCTCATTAGGGTCATGGGGGGCTGGAGTCTATCCCAGCTGACTCAGGGTGAAGGCAGGTTCACCTGGACAGGTAACCAGTCTATCACAGGGCTACACTTAGAGACAGACAACCAAGCACACTCACATTCACACCTATGGACAATTTAGAATCACCAATTAACCTCAACATGTTTTTAGACTTGTAGATGGAAGCCGGAGAACCCGGAGAGAACCCACGCTGCACGGGGAGAACATGGAGACTAGTTTGCCGTCATCTGTATGTAGAATTACAGAACTCCATTAAAAATTCCTTTTATTAATCAGTAATACAAAAGCAGCGGCTCTCTTGTGTGTCACTGTGATTGTGGCCCTTTTGCAGTCCTTTCTAATAAAAGTTGCATTCCTGTTCAACTCATTTACATTTTGAAAGAACTGTAATTTAAGATGAGATAAAACTTCACTGATCCCAAAGGAAATTCTTTCATTTCAGGTAAGAAAATGCTTTGAATGAGACACAAAGTTTATTGTGGATGGAAATGATGAGTTGGCTGAAAAAGGAGCAAAAGTAAAGCAATGCAATAAATGCCAAAGACATACTGATTAGAAATGTATTTCTAATGCATCACAAATAACAAATGTAATCTGGGAGAACATTTGTTATCCTTAAAATGCAGTTTAGATGACACCTCCGTCCTCGTCTTATTACCATTCTGCTATCAGGGGAAAAAGAAAAACGCTCTGGTTTGTTTGTATTTCTTTCAACCACTTTCATCTCGGGTCGCCGGTTGAGCTGGCGACCCATGTACAGGAGCTATAGTCTCCGATGCAGCGGCCATGGGTTCGAATCCCGCTCATGGCCCTTTGCTGCAACCCCTTCCCCCATTCTCCTCCCCCACTTTCACGTCCCTCTTTCGACTGTCTTATCTAATAAAGGCAAAAAAGCCCAAAAAAAAAACCCAAAACACTTTCATCTCGATAGGGAATAAGCCCGGGATGCAGCAACGGTGCCCCTGCAAACTATTACATTTGAAAGTGTTGCACTGTTGTTAAAATGGCTAATTCACCCAAAGCATTAAGCAGACCTCCTTTTTTTGCACAATTCAAGTGCAAAAAAGTGCTATTTCTTGCATGGTGTTTGCTGCTTGGAGGCTGTCGTTCCCCGTAGCGC